CGGAAAGATGGTGTTCTCTGGAATCTATTTCAAATAATCTTCTACAAATATTACTCATATTTACTGCACAGATTGATGAAAAATTTTTCTCTTTATACTTGAAAATCGAGCTGGGGTCCGTACGGACATCACTACTAAAAGTTTAGTAGTCAGTAGGTGGTGAAATGAGGATTAACAGTGCACAGCGTACATCAATGTCCATTCTCGTGCAATTTGATCAAATTTTTCTCTTTCATTAACACACATACGCCCGATTTCTGGATCAATGCTTACATGACCATTTGGACTACCAATCAGTGCACATACAGATATTAAAGTTGCTCGAAGATATAAAGCTGGCGACCACTGTGAATCAAGTACGTCAAGATAAACGTCACCAGTCGAACTGATATTCGGATGATAAATTTTTGTTTCAAATCGAATTGCTGGTGGTTTGAATGGAAACGTTTCATCCATCTGTATATCAACTTTAAACATGCCGCCTTCGTACGGAGTATCTTTCGGACCAAAAAGTATTCCTTTCCAATGATACAAGTCACCATCAACAGGACTCACACTGAAACATTCGGGTGGATCTTCTTGCAGTTGTTTCCATATTTTAGCAAGCAACTTTAACGCTGCCATTATTTACTTAACTTATTTCTGAAAGTAAACTAATAAAACAATAATTTATGATGCGTGGGTTAGATGATGTCAAGATTCACTTCAAGTGGGATAGAAGTTTCAAGATCGAGCTACTCATCCTAGTCCCTTTTTTTATTTTTATGATCTTCGTCTCACCATCAACGAAAATTAAGACAAAAGAAAGAATAATGAACGAAGAGCGAAAAAAACATCAAAACGTGCGTGTGTGAGTGAAACTTGTTTCTCTTCTGTTTGCTGTCTGACGAAGACAGCATCGCTCTCCACGCGATACAAAATAACCACAACAAGAAAGAGTTCTTCAGCCTAAAATCAAATTAGAAGACTTTTCTTCACAAACAAGAGCCTTACAACCAGCAATATCAACGAAAATAAAGAATGGTTGGATGATCATGTGCTGCGAACATGATAACTAAGTGACAGAGTCACGCGAGTTGATATCTTTTATTTTACTCGAAAGAGATCTTCTCATTAGAGATGGACACTGGGACCAAAAACTTTTTCTGGTTAAGATTTGCGTACCATTTCACTAACTTTAGTGGTAAACTAGTATTTGACCACGCATTGTGTATAGAAATGTCTGCTCCTTCAACCTATATATTTTAATGTATATATCACAGGCCTTCGTTATTAAGGAATTTAGCAAATACAATGCCCGGGACCACAATACCCGGCATCACATTACCTGGACCACATTGTCGGAATCATGGTTCCGGTTATTATATTTGCTAAATTCATTAATAACGAAGGCCTGTGATATATATTAAAATATATAGATTGAATGAGCAAACATTTCTATACAAAATGCGTGGTCAAATCATAGTTTACCACTTAAGTTAATGGAATGGCACGCAAATCTTTTACCGGGACCAGAAAAATGTTTTGGTCCCGGTGACCATCTCTCCTTCTCACTTATGAGCAAGCCAAGAAATTTATGAAAGATTCATCCCATTAGCATGGTTGGAGTGCCGCTAGATGTTGTGCTTATATTGTTTAAGAAAAGAACACGTTATTTAGTTTCATACTCTCAATCGAGTCATAGAACGGTACAAATGTATCGTTCAGCAAATCGTTACCAATTCGGCGGTTCCAGTATAAGAACATGCCATAATTAATCCGCATGATGTTGCTGGTAGCTAAATTTCATGACGAATATCAGAGGCACTGATCATTTATTGACATATCTAGCGCACTATATTGCCTCGTTTTTAGTTTAAAAATGCTTGCAACGAATCATGCTAGAGTAATCGGTTGAGAGTGCTAACCGATGAGAAAAATAATGTCTCTGATTGATGACATCCTCAATACCCGCTTGCTACTCTTTGGTACAACAACATTCTATCATCCGTAGATAAACGAGGCGACATCCTCCCTCAAAAACAGCCTTGGTTCGATATTTGTTCCTTAGTTTGGACAACTAACACGAAAAAAGTCGTTGAATTCATTCTATGAAACAAAGTAATGGGTGGCAGAACAAAGCAAAGTGAATAACGTGTGTGAATAACAGCAGGGATAGATACGGAATAGAGAAAAGAACAAAAAATTTTGAGCCTCATTTACTCTGTCTATTTTATCTATTCTATAAAGAAAAAAGTTTTTTTTGTTTTCTTCTGTATTCCGTATCTACCTCAGGTGAAGCATGTTACTCAGTTCATGTCGCTATCTCTACCTTCTGCTAACAAATGGACTCATTCTTAATACCTTATACAATGACAAGATCATGATATGCACTTTACGACGACTGTAGTATAAATATGATTCATGAGAAAACTATGATAAAGTTGTTCTACACATGAGTCATATTGCTCACTATCTATCTTTCAAAATGTTAAATATAATTGACCTATTTCATCTATACGCACGATGTAGATAAAGGATTTACGTGTAGGTATATATAAATAGGATGTACTATATCTCTGAGATTTCGATTCAAAACAAAAACCAAAGATCAAAACAATGATTAGTACTCTGCTGGTTAATAAATTGGTCTTGCTATGCACATAGATTTTTCTTGTTCCATTGACTGCAAGTCTATGATCATACGAAACAAATTGTTTATCTGTGTGTTTGTCCATACACGGGTGTAACGGACGCACCTATATATAGTGACTAATGAGTGTGCGGATGTACATACACAGAATCACTAATGAGTGTCTCGGACATGGATCCACATCCATGATGGTTTTCTGTGGAATCGGAGAAGTGTATTGACACCTATCTTGGCTGCGAGCGCGAACCGAAGGGACGCACGAGCATTGTCTGGAATTTAGAAATATTTTTAAACCTCTGCGGTTCGTGGGGAGGTGTCGAGAAAACCTTTATAGATTTGAACTACATTATGAAGCTGACACATCAAATCAGAGAAATATTCATAACGCATTGTAGATAGTCACTAGCGAACATCGATCGAAGGGAGGTGTGAGCGTTGTTTTCTAATCAAAGTCATGGAATTCGCAGATGTAAGTTCCTAAAGTGAAGAAAAGCGAGTGTGGACGAGCGTTACGTTATTTTCTCTCTCACGCTTAAAAAAGTTTCCTACTTTCTTTCCTTATGATTGGATCAACCATGATGCATCTGGCCGCCGCTTTTCCACGAACGAGGCTAAATGTTGCCCTCACTTAGGTTCCGTTATCAAGAGTAAGAAGACCCAGAGATTTGGTAATATAACGTCCATTTCGAAAGTCTGTACTACAGATAAAACTAAATCAGATTACAGAGACTCGATGGACTACACAAATTGATTCAACAACGCTATGATGCTTGGAAACTTTTGAGTGTCACATAACTACTCAACTGATGTTGATTTGACAGACTTGACTTCTGTTCTATACTTGACTTGAAAACACGTACTAACTCTGATAAACTTTTCTGACCGGTGAAAAGCTATAGCAACTGCTTCTGTAAACTAAGGTGGAATATGTGGACGTTGTCACTGTAAAAGATATCGCGAAATTCTGTAGTAACAAGATCGAGTTACCACAGAATGAATAATATCCCCGACAGTATTCATTCGACTTACAGGCAATGGACTTACGAGGGAACCATCTGAGATCTGAGGTGATACCTTCCGTTTTGATTCATTCATATCTCATTTAATTGAGTATATTGAGATAGTAAAAACCCTAAAGGGGATTTTCCCCAATCTCATTCCTTCAAAAGTTATCGACGTTTTCCTATTTTTACCCTTAT